TGTTATTATTGTATTTGAGTCCATATCTCCCTTTAAATCCCTTAACAATTCTTTCAAATAGCCAGATGCCCTGTAATTAGGTGCATATACAGAATCGGTCCTTTAATCATTATATAATGTCCTTCTTTGTCTATTTTAACAGTTTTCATGTTAAAGTCCATTTTGTCTGATATTAGGATGGCCATACCAACTATTTTTTGGCTTCCATTAGCATGGATTATCTTTTTCCATCCTTTCACATTCAGTCTGCATGAATCTTTGTTGGCAAGATGTGTTTCTCGTAGGCAGCAAATAGATAGATTTTCTTTTTTAATCCATTCAGCCAATCTGTGTCTTTTAACTGGGGAGTTAAGACCATTTACATTCGGTGTGACTATTTTTAAATAATGTCTTTGCCCTGCCTTGTTTCCTTAAGTAGTCCTGTTGATGTATTTGGGATTTCATTTGTACTTTTGCTAGGTCATTTTCTGCACTCATTTCTTTTGTAGTGATGTTCCTGTTTTTGTTTTTCTGTGTGTTTAGCACGTCTTTGAGCATCTTTTGTAGGGCTGTGAGAGTAGTTCCAAATTTTTTTCAATTTCTTCTTGTTGTGGAAGATCCTTATTTCTCCTTCATTCATAAATGAGAGTTTTACAGGTACAAGTATTCTCAGTTGACAGTTTTTTTTTTTCTCCTAGGATTTGGCATATTTCTCACCACTGTCTCCTTCCTGTAGGGTTTGTGATGAGAAGTCCAGAGTAAGTCTAATTTGGTTTCCTCTGGATGTTCACTCTTTAAAAGAGCATATGATCTGGAACTTCTTTCTAGTGCTGGCAATGAATTGGCATTTATTCATATATTTTCATTAGTTAGATGAGCCTTATATTTAAAAAGGACTTATTTTTAATAAGTAATAAAAATTTTCATATAGAAAGCTTGAAAAACTTTAAAAATTGAATAATAAATGTTGCATTCTGGTATTTGATATCCATATTTTTTCCTCTCATCTATTCAATATATTGAGAAGTATACATATATTTCTTTAAAAATAACATAAGGCATATAATGATTCCTTTATTATGTATTGACCACATGTATTTATACCATTTTAACTTACATATTTATTTTTGGATAATTAGATTATTTCCAATAGTTTTTGGCTACCCATATGTCTGCACACATCTCTGTGAACACTGGGATGGGTGTTGGATATAGTAAGATGCCAGAAGAGAGGTGTCCCTAGGATAAATTTCCAAAAGTTAAAATATTTCCAACAATGTATAAAATACTTCTTGTTCAAGGAACTTTGCCAACTCTGCAAGCATCTCTTATAATGTGGCCAACTCTTCCAGAAGCAGTCAAGTGTAAGTTGTGTTTGAATATGCTTTAATGTCAAATTAGGCCTTAGTCACAGCTCAGGATGTCATGTGGTTTATTTCATAGCAATTTCTTCCAATTTCTTCCTGAACCTCAAGCAACAGTAGTGAATAAAAGGAAACATCATTTTCCCTTAAAGTGCAAAACATTCTTCTCAACATCTGCTCATATTAACACACATATATCACTTTCCCTTTGGATTATACTATATTGGTATTACTAGGTTTTTTTTTTTTTTTATTCTCCTGTTCTGGAAGGATCCTGAAAATAAATACATATTTCTTTTGCATTACCTTCAGATTGTTCTCCTCTGACCTTTTTGAGTAGGAGGAAAAAAAAATCTGGAATTTATAGGAGTGATATTTGTGGAATTAAACATTTGTCACCAATGTAAGCTATCTCAGTACACAAGAAATTATCATTATTGATGCATTTTTGTTACCCACTCATCTACAGCATAAGCCAAATTCTAGAGGTAAGAAAAGAAAATGGAAAAATATTTAACCACCGTTGATGTATTCACTAGTTAAAAAGTGAACATCCATAAATTAAAAGTTAAATCCTGTGGTGGGAATTGGGCACAGTGCTTAATGTCCGATTCAGGAGATCTACATCTCATTTTCTGAATGCCTGGGCTTAATGTCCATCTCCAATCCCAATTCTGCCTCCTGCTAGTGTACACCCTGGGAGGCAGAAAGTGATGGCTCAAGTATTTGAGTCCCTGCCACCATTGTAGAAGTCCTCAATTCTTCAGTCTGGCCCAGCTCTGGCTGTTGTAGGCATTTACATATTGTCCCAGTGGATGAGATTCTAATTCCCTCTACCACTCCCGCCCCCTGTGCCTCCACCTAACTCCCTGGTTTTAAAAATTAATCTTTTAAAAATCTTAGTACACATTAGCTTTTCTTAAATGCCCAGCGAAAGTTAATCAGTTAATACCCTTGGAGTTCATAGAAGTGATTACTAAGGATAGTTGCCTTCAAGGGGATTTGATTGATTGAATATTTTGGAGAACTAGAGCTTGAAGAAAAGGGATGGTTTTCCAAGCAGAGTCAACAGTGCTCACAAAGGTGAGGACAGAGTAAAAATAATATTCTGATGAACTACACTGATTCACTCAATATTATAGCAGAAGGGAAACCTCAAAGGCTTAACTAGCCTTGAACGGGGTTAAGATAGATCTTTTGGAAACAGAAGTCCACTTAGTCCTTTATGAGAAAAGAACTTAACAAGTAATTAGGGAAATTTTATAAAATTCTATGAAAATATGAATATCAGCATGAGATAATTATGATCTAGACTAGATAGTTGCAGAAATAATTAAAAGTCATCATAGATGCTAGAGCCATTAGGATAAAAAAGTCAAAAGAACTCTGAGCTTGAAAACTGATTAGATGTAAAGATAAGAGACTATTAGGAACTCTACAAATTTTTGTTCAACTGGTCCAGGAACTCATAAATGAATGAGACTGCCATCAACCATGTACTTAATACAGAATTCCAAAAAGAAAGGGGGCAACTAATGCTGCAGGGGACTAAACAAAGGCTGGGATAACCTCCTAGGCAAAGTGATACTGGAGCTTGGACTTCAGCGATCAATAGAATTTCACCAGATGGGAGAGGTGGAGAATATGTAATGAAGAGGGCAAGAGGAACAGAAACACCTTTAAGATTTTTAGGTCTCCATGACTGGAGGCAGTTGATAACATGCATTGAAAGTAGGAAGTCGAGTAGTAGAGATGTCTCAGGTAGAATGACAAGGATCCCAGGTTAGGACAGTCATCAATATGCAGAAAATGTTTACAAATATGGATTCATTGGGGTTGTATTTTTGGAAGCTAATGAAAATTTTCTGCTTTCATGGAAATTATAGGCTGGAATTTGAAAATAAATATATAGAGTTTTAGTGTTCTACAGAATGTTGTTTTGTTATGATTTTTTTTTTTTTTTTTTTTTTTTTTTTGCTATTTCTCTTTCCTTGTGTCACTAACATCGGTAAGAGGAAACAAGCACACAGGAAAGCATGGGTGGCTAGAATTTGACTTAACAAGCCATTACTTAGACATCAAAACATGCCAAGTAGCTATTCCCTCCAAGACTCCAAACAGTCCCCAAACTGACCTTGATGTCTACAGGCTTCACACAAATGGTTTAGTAATTGATAGCAATAAATTAGAGTCAATTGCATTTAGTTAGGGGAATCTAAAGTCTTAATGTGGTAAAATAAGCTGACCTTCTTCTAGCTTTGCATTTTTATTGCACCCTTCTGCTCTCTGCATGTGGGTGATGTTAGGCTAAAATCTTCTGACCTTAGCAGTACTTCATGAGATGTGTTCTCACCAGAACTCATTGCTAGAATGTTCAAAGAGGGAGCATTAGTATGGAAAAGTATTTTCAGGTCAGAAATAAAAGGTTGGAGTGATGAACCTTGGAAGTTAAATTCCTGTAATTAAAATGTTCGGTTTAAATAAAGCAAAAAATACGTAACCTGTTTAGCATTACATTTCAGACTTCTATCAAGAACAGTTGAGGGATGTTGAATCAAATGTTTCACCCAGCTCTGTAGCTCCACAGTTTTCATTTTGGTCTTCAGTAAGCTGATATGATGAAAAGAGTCTGTATATTCAAGGCTAATGTTTTTTGATTCCCAGCTGATCACCTGACTGTATATTCACCTGATTGGTTGAAAAGTGTTCTGTTAGCTCCTGACAAAAGAAATTAGGGGGTGTAGTTTGTTCATTCATGTTTTTGTTTTTAAATGAGTTGCAATACACAGTTCTTCAAGTTTTAAATTATATCTCATAACTTATTTTCCTGAAAACATGATTACTTAAAATTAATTTTTCTTACCAAAGCTTTCATAGTATCTAATCATGTCGAAGCAATTTGTCAAAATTGGATCAACGCTGTATGGTACCAGAGTTATCTCCAGACATTTCTCAGAAACTTCAAGAAAATTGAATAAAATTTTCTGATGAAACAAGATGAGGGCAATCTGAGGAGTCCATTTGAAATGTGGTTCCCAATGCTAAAAATATCATTTAAAATATAGTTCAATAGCAAGCATCTATTAAGCACCCCATAGCTGCTAAATTTTACAATAGGTATATGCTATCCAAAATGAATATGGCATAATTGCTCTCAGAAACTTCACATCAAGATTTACCTTTATTCAATGGCATTCATTTATCATCAGTACTTTAAATTTCTAGTTTCCATTAAGATCTGGCCAATATTCATTTAAAAATATCAAAACTCGTTTTTAATCATATAAACTCTGGATCTCCAGCTGCTAATAATTTATTGAGCAAATGCATGGCTCAGTAGAAGCAAAGATTTTCAGACTACTTTAGAAAAGATTTTAGATATCCCATAATATACATCTTATAGGTAAGAAAGCTGGTGGAGATCTAAAACCCTTGTTTCTAAAGCCTAGTAGAAATAAGGTTCTGCTACTGACCCCGTGAGAGCGAGAATACAGAAAACTAGCAATTATTTAGTGCTAATGACCCTTTTAATGCATTGTAAGATTATTATTTTATCTGAGGCACTGGAAATGGAATTTATTCCCTGTTCTCCCTGAAATGTGTCATGAATTATTCCTTGCCATTAACAACTTAATAGATATATTTTCTGTGCATCAGTTTTCCAGATCAAGAAATTCGCAAAGTGGCAGTTCAACAATTAGACACCCTCTGGAATGATGAACTACTGGAATATCTCCCACAGCTGGTTCAGGTAAGAAGGGCAGAATTGCCAGGGTTATTTCAAGAATTTAATTAATGATTTTCTAGAGAGTTCCTAATGAATCATCAACAAACTACATAAAAGTGATACTACAATCTGGACAAAAATATGAATGATAGCTCCTATATTTTTAATTGCATTTGTATTTTTTTATTTATTTGACAGAGTGAGTTAGACAGTGAGAGAGAGAGAGAGAGAGACAGACAGACAGACAGAAAGGTCTTCCTTCCATTGGTTCACCCCCCAAATGGCCACTACGACCGGCGCACTGCGCCAATCCAAAGCCATATGCTTCCTCTTGGTCTCGCATGCAGGTGCAGGGCCCAGGCACTTGGGCCATCCTCCACTGCCTTCCCGAGCCACAGCAAAGGATAGCTCCTATATTAATAAGAGTTTTGTAAATACTCTCTAGACAAAATGTTAGGAAGAGAAGTATGGTTATCTTAGAATTGTATCTGTTAAATACATTAAATCTATTCTCAATAAAAATTTTCAAAACAGTAAAAAAGAAATATCTACAAAGTATATAAAACCTGTTCTCTGTATATTAATAATAAATTGGTACAATCAAGACATAAAAATCCAAAAGAAATTATTAATTATCAATTTGAACATGTAAAATATAAATACTGTGATAAAATTCTTTCATCTGACTGTATATATAAAATAAAACTTTGGTACCCATGTTGTGGCATAGCAGTGAAGCCACTGCCTGTGATGCCATGATGATGATGATGGCATCCCTATGGGTGCCAGCTCATGTCCTAGCTACTCCACTTCATGCAGCTCTCTGCAAATGACCTGGGAAAAGTAATGGAGGATGGCCCGAAAGTTTGGGCCCCTGCCACCCTTGTGGAAGACCTAGAGGAAGCTCCTGGTTTTGGACTGGCCTAGCACTGGCTGTTGCTACCATGTGGGGAATGAATCAGTAGATGGAAGACTCTCTCTCTCTCTCTCTCTTTCAAAATAAATACATACATCTTTATAAAACATTAACACAATAAATATATAGAAACTAGTAATTTGCTAGGCAGCTCCTCATAATTTGTAACTTACTTGACTTCCCCTTAAAAATTCTAGTATAAATCTTATCAAAGTAACTTCTAATACCCCAATTCTCTTGTCAACTAGTACATTTTTTTATTGACAGAGTTAGACAGTGATGTCAGCTAGTCATTTTAGTGACAACATCAAATACCACAATACTGGAGTAATTTTTGAAAATAATATAAAGTTACCCAGAATCATGAGTACAGTTAATCACCTGACTTACATGACGACAGATAAACAGATTACACCATCTACAAGTGAGCGTGAGAATGAGTCAACATCCAGCCTGGATCTTCTGTCATGTAACTATGTGCTGAGTGCTCAAGAGGTATAATTCAACTTGGGGCCAGAGCTATGGTGTAGTGGGCTTGGCCTCCACCTGCAGCATTGGCATCCTATTTAGACATAGGTTCTAGTCCCAGCTGTTCCTCTTCCAATCCAGCTGTCTGCTTTAGCCTGGGAAATCAGTAGACAATGGCCCAAGTACTTAGGTCCTGCATTCACGTGGGAGACCTGGAGGAAGCTCCTGGCTCCTGGCTTCAAATCAGCTCAGCGCCAGCCCTTCTGGCCATTTGGAGTGAACCAGCAGATGAAAGACCTTTCTCTCTGTCTCTTCTTCTATCTGTAAGTTTACATCTCAAATAAATAAACAAAATCTTTTTAAAAAGATTAATCCAACTTGCAAGATCAATATTCATCTCACAGCTCATAGGTATGGGCTGAAGTTATAGCTAACCCAACTCAAAAGAGTAAGTTCTTAATTAATTTAAACATAATAAATTAAACTCATTTGGATCAGAGTCAATACACTTGGCACCAGGAATATGACTGAACCCATATTCATGCAAATCCAAATTCATAAGAAAAGTTGCACACAGAATCCAACATAGCAAATAGAAAGGAAACAATTAAGGCTGCAAATATGCCATAATTAAAAATAAAGATATAAGCTGCTCTCAGATGGAAAGAAACATGTACTCATTATGGAACTAGAAAATAAATAAAAACCAGGAAGCATTTTACAACTGCCAATGTATTTACCCTTAGAATTTCATCCTCCACCATGACCTTATAACTTTCCAACACATAAACAAATTCCACCTCATCAATTATGTTCTGGAATCATGGGGTTTTTTTCTGTATTACCATGTTAGAATTACATAGGCTATATTAGAACAGTAAGAATGGAATCTAAGACCATAATGAAAATAGCAGATATGGATATATGCTTCATATCTTAAAGTCATATAAGAAAAAGACCCAGAAGTTACTGGGACCACAAGTTATAAACCTTAAGGTAAGTTGCAAGAACGGTGTTGTATGCACCAGAAAATTTACCTACATCCTGGATAGTGAGGCAGAATTTGGGGCTGATGATACCAGTAGACATAGTAAAGCAAGGAGTTTGGAAGTAAGGGAGGCAATTCAAATGCAGTCAATAGTTGCTGAGTATCACAGGAAATAGCCAACAGAAATTGTAAAAGGCAAGCATGGAAGAAAATGTGAAAGCTATTTTACTTCTCATATGCTCATAGGATATGTTCACTGTTAGGGCATAAACAGTAATCATGGCCTGGGAAGCTCGAATTAGCCTGTAAGTGAAAGATGCTCATGGCTGCAAGTTAAGACAATACACAGTATGGTCTTTCTACATTCAGACAGCAACAGGACATGAAACAGGTTTGCTATGATCATCTTTGGCATTCTCACACCTCAGGGGTTTATAAACTCCTCTGTGCTTGCAGAGGCCTCATATAATCAGGTGTTTGTTGAGGTGGATGTTAGTGGATATAGCTCCCACTTTCTGCTGTCTGCATGATTGTATAAAGTCTGGATTAAATGATGAGGGGTGGGATATAGCTCCCACTTTCTGCTGTCTGCATGATTGTATAAAGTCTGGATTAAATGATGAGGGGTGGGATATAGCTCCCACTTTCTGCTGTCTGCATGATTGTATAAAGTCTGGATTAAATGATGAGGGGTGGGTAGGCATATGTCAGAGGAAGAAAAAGATAGAGGGAAGGTCTCAGATGTCTTACCTGAACGGCTAAAGACAGAAACTTTGCCTCTCAAACAGGAATGAGTGCTTTCATGAACAGAACCTTTATTTTTAATCATCATGTTCACGTATTTCATTTCCTGAACACTGATGGAGCCCAGGCACAGATGTTGACCGTGAAATCCCTGAATACGGCAGGTGAAGGTTTAATTAAGTTCAGAGGCTACCCCTTTCTGTCTGCGTTTTCTACAAGATGGGGTATCCCAGAAAACCTTAGGGAGATACTCACAGTGGAAATGAGAAATTTTGGAAATTGGCTATGGTGGTACCAGTCAGCTTTGAAAATGTAGGCAAAGCTTCAAGCTGTGCAGGCTGATACTGATATACTAGCTGGTGATCTCTCTTCAGGCTTTAATAAGCATTAGTTTCATCTTCAAATGCAGAAGTATCTATTACTTAATACTACTTTTATGATCTGAGGGCATATTCATAACATTATTTGTTGCTCCAGGATTCCCCCGCCCAGGGACTGGTTGAATCCTACACACCACCTGCTCTTTTTTAATAATTTTTATTCATTTATTTTCGTATATTTGAAGGATCCACATGGAGAGAAAGACAGACAGAGATTGATCTTCTGGCTGCTAGTTCACTCTCTAAGTGCCTGGAACAGCCAAGAGCCTGAGCTCCATCTGAATCTTCTATAAGGGTGGCAGGGACTCAAGCTGCTGTCTCCTAGTTTGCATTACCAGGAAGCTAGATCAGAAGCAGAGGTGCCAAGTCTTCCAGGCACTCCTGTACGGGACGTAGGCATCTCTAGTAATGGCTAACCCCACTGCTCTACAGTGCCTAGTCTGCCCTGCTCTTATTTCTTATCGTGTAATCTTAAATCATAAATAAGGAGAAAAAGACTACATATATTCGCATTGTGTATGGTGTGTGAGATACATGTTATTAGCTATGCATTAGATGATAAGCATTAATACATTATCAACATGTTCTTAAATGTGCATGCTACTTTTCCTGGTTGTTTCTTAAGCCTCTATGTGCCTCTGTATTCTGCTATAATTTTGGTACTGAGAAAACACAGTAAAGGAAATGTTTCTTACTGTAGGCTGTCAAGTTTGAATGGGACCTTGAAAGTCCATTGGTTCAGCTTCTACTGCACCGGTCGCTGCAGAGCATCCAGATTGCCCATCGTCTCTACTGGTAAGATGAACTAACACTGGTTAAGATGCTGTGTTTTTGCCAACTTCTCTGTGGCACAACTTGAGAGGAAGGAGAGGATTCATTGGTCTTAGAGTTTATATATACCTCAACTAGAAATTCAGCCGAGGTTAAGTCTTTGTTCAGTTTATTTTTATTCATGAGTATAATTTAACTGCCATCATTTTCAAATTTTTTTCAATTTTAAAATTTATATAAGGTGAACAAATTTCATGTATTTAAATATTTAGGAGCAAACTTCCCACTGTATTCTCCCTCCTAAACGTGCTCCACAAATTTCATGAATTTACCATTTAATATAATGCTAGCTGTGGGTTTGTCATATATTGCCTCTACTGTGTTGAGGAATGTTCCTTCTACATCCAATTTGCTTAAAATTTTTATCATGAAAGTATGTCGTATATTATCAACTGCTCTCTGCACCTATTGAGATAGTCATATTTTTTGTTTTTTAATTTGTTGATGTGATGTATTACATTTATTGATTTCTGTATGTTGAACCATCCCTGCATACCAGTGATAAATCCCACTTGGTCTGGGTGAATGATCTTTCTGATGTGTTGTTGGATTCAATTAGCTAGTATTTTGGTGAGAATTTCTGCATATATGTTCATCAGGATTGTTAGTCTATAGTTTTTCTTGTGTCTTTTTCTGGTTTTAGAATTAAGATGATTCTGGCCTCATAGAAGAAGTTTGGAAGAATTTCCCCCCTTTCAATTGTTTTTAATAGCTTGAAAAGAATGGAATTAGTTCCCCTTTAAATGTCCGGTAGAAGTTAACCTCTTTTCTCTATAACTCTTCTATCACTAGTGAAAGACAGTAGGCTAGACTCAAACAATTGGGAGCAATGACCCTTATTTCTGACATCTTTCATTATCAGATCATACAATCTGAACATTAACAGACTAAGCGGTCAGCTAGTTCAAAATGCCATTCACTATAAATCCAATTTAAAATTTCAAAAATGTAAACAATAGCTGTAGCACTTAAAAATATTTTCAGAAAAGAATACTACTAGAATTCAGGGTAAATATAGCAAACAGTGTGTGATTAGCTGACTATAAGCAATTTTACAAAGTCTTCAAACTAGAATTGAGGATCACGTGCGCCAAGTATAGACTTTCAGTTTTTCTGCTGATCTGCTTTTGCTCACTCATGTTTTCTTTTAGTGTTATCACAAGCTTTAGTGTCTTCAATAACAAACAAACTTTTCTTGTCCCTATTAGGAAGGCTGTCTGCAATTATTTGGTGCTGAATGATAAATACAGGCCTTCTGCTTTAGAGCATATCATTCAACAGAATGCCATTAAGTTACTATTTTGAAAAGTTGACTTGTCAATATACATTAAAAATACACTCATGATGCAGTAGTTAACCACTGTATCCATCTTGTATTATCCACTCATATGGCTGTCTATCTGACCATAAAGTCAATCATAAAAAAAATTGTAATCAGTTGAACATAGGACTGTTTGCTTGTGTATGTATCTTTCTTATCAGTAATAACAGCAAAATCCTAGTTCATAGTTCCTTACATACAGATACTTCCATACAGATTGTTTCCACATGCCTTTGGATCATGCCATTCAATAAAAAAAAAAAAAAGAATTTAGCAGTGAAGTCTGGACTTTTGTTTGTTGGGAGAATCTTTGTTACTGATTCGATTTCTGTTTTGGTTATTGGTCTGTTTAGGTTTTCTGTCTTCATGGCTCAATTTTGGAGATCTAGGAATCTGTACATTTCTTCTGGATTTTCCAACTTGTTGGCTTATAGATATCTGTAGTAATTACTGATGATTCTTTTTTTTCCCCTGTGGTATCTATTGTAACATCTGCTTCATCTGGTTTTATTGAAATATGTTCTGGTTAGTTGAGTGGTGTATCAGTTTATTTAAAAAAAAAAAGTTCTTCATTTCATTGATATTTTATGGTTTTTTTGTTTGATTAAATTTGGTTTATCTATTCTCTAATTGTAATTATTTGTTTTCTACTAATTTGGGGTGTGGTTTACTGTTGTTTTTCTAGGTCCATGAGATGCATTGAGCTCATCTATTTGATGCTTTTCCAATTTCTTGATGTGGGCACTAATTGCTATAAACTTCTCTTTTAACACTACTTTTGCTGTATCCCATAAGTGTTGATAGTTGTATTGTAATCTTCATTTGTTTCCAGGACTTTTTTTTAATTTTAACTTTGATTTCTTCTATGACTCAATGTTCATTCAGGAAAATGTTATTCAGTCTCCATATGTTTGCATATTTTCTAGAGATTCTTAATTTATTATGTCTAGCTTCATTCCATTGTAGTTAGAAAAGATACATGATATGATTTCACTTTTTTGAATTTGCTGAAACTTGCTTTATGGTATAGCATTTGATTTATCCTAGAGAAAGTTCTATGCACTGATGAAAATCATGTGTATTCTTAACTGTGGAATGAAAGTTTCTGTAGATATCAGTTAAGTACATTGGATCCATAGTGTAAATTAGCTCTGGTTTTCTTTTTTGATTTTCTATCTAGTTGATCTGTCCATTGATGAAAGTGGAGTGTTTAAGTCCCCCATTACTGTTGTATTGGAGTCTGTGTCTTTCATTAGATGCGTTACCATTTGCTTTTAATATCCAGATGCCTTGCAGTTGGGTACATATACATTCATTATTGTCAGATCTTCTATTGAATTAATCTCATAATCATTATGTAATCCCCTTCTTTGTCTATTGACAGTTTTTATGTTAAAGTCTATTTTATTTGTTATTAGGATGAATATACCTGCTGGTTCTTGCTTTTTTTTTTTTAGCATGGAATATCTTTTTTCCATCCTGCATCTATCTTTGTTGGTGTGGTATGTTTCTTGTGGGCATCAAATAGATTTTTTTTAATGCATTCAACCAGTTGCTATCTTTTAATTAGAAAATTAGGCCAATTACATTCAAGGTTGTTATAGATAAACAATTATTTAGAACTACTATTTTCCCATACATATTCCTATTATTTGCTTTGTATTTTCTTTGTACTATTACTCAGATTATTTGCCTTCACATTCATTCATAATAATGACTGTCATTCTGTTTCTGTATGTAGCACATCTTAAAAATCATTGGTAATTCTGGACAAGTGTGACAAATTCTTTTAACTTATGTTTGTAAGATCTCTTTTTTAAAAAAGATTTCTTATTTATATTTTTGAGAGGTAGAGTTACATACAGAGAGAGGGAGAGATGGGGAGAAAGGTCTTCCATCATCTGGTTCCTCCCCTAATGGCTTCAATGGCCGGAGCTGAGCCAATCCAAAGCTAGGAGCCAGAAGCTTCTTCCAGGTCTCCCACGTGGGTGCATGGGCACAAGCACTCAGGCTATCTTTTGCTGCCTTCCCAGACCATAAGCAGAGAGCTAGATTGGAAGAGGAGCCACCAGGACACAAACCGGGGCCTAAATTGGATGCCGGTGCTGCAGGAGGAGGCTTAGCCTATTATGCCTCAGCAGCAGTCCCATAAGTCTTCTTTTTAAAAGAACTATTGCTACCATTAATGGAGTGTTCTATATAACGAGATCTTTAAATTTGATGAGGCCTTTCCTAAATCTATACATCACAATTCTATGTGTGATCATATTTGCATGTTGAAGGTTTTCATATAAAAGCTAATTACAGGACTATGAAAATGTGCCTTAATGAATATATATGGAAGAACCTGTGCCTTATAAGCACATCCCCAGCTGGCATTTGACATAGCATGTAGGAGCCGCAGCCTTCAATGCCAGCATCCCATATCAGCACTGGTTTGAGGCCCAGCTGCTGAACTTCCAGTCCAGTTTCCTGCTAATGCATCTGGGAGAGCAGTGGAAGATGGCCTGAGTACTTGGTCCCCTGCCACCCACGTGGGAGACCTGGAAGAATCTCCTAGCTCCTGGCTTAGGCCTTACCCAGCCCTAAACCTTGCAGCCATTTGGGGAGTGAACAGCAGGTGGAAGAACTTTCTCTCTCTCTGTTTCTTTTTCTTTCTCTTTCTCTCTCCCTCTCCCTTTTTCTCACCCTCACTCACACTCTCCTTTCAAATAAATAAAATATCAATCTTATAAAAATTTTTACAAAGTACTTTCAGTGCAATATTAGTTATCAACAACAGAATCTGAATGCGAACATATATTCTTTCTATTGAAAATTCATAGAACACCCAACTTTTCCAAAAGCATAACGTTGGAATACTAATAGAGAAATAACACTTATTTAAGAGATACTGTATTTTTTTGCATTATCACCTGTACCTTTTATTATATTAATCAATGCATAAAAACTCTACAGATATATGGAGTACCCAGTGATGTATTGATTAATGTATATGTTGTGAAAACATCTCTCTCTCCTCAAACGTTAATTACTCAATCTCATGAAACCTGATCTTTGTATGCTCTTTATCCTACTTTTCTTTGTGTGACCTATCTTTTAAATTCATTCTCATAGCACAACATTTTAATAATTAGAAGTATCAGTGACCTAAGTGTGAAATGGGATTTGTCTTTTGTTCTCACAAATGTATGACAGGCATCATTTGCTTGCTTCAGTTGCTAGCTAAGATCGTTATTAATGGAAAAGCAGCAAGTCAATACCATTTTGGAGTACCGTGTTACCCTGCTTCAAGAAACATTATTCATCATGATACAGCTTTTCCCATAAAAATGACTCATGTCCTTAAAAAAAAAGGCACAGGAACTTGTCAGGGACTAGTGTTTGACCTGCTGCTCATTTTCATTTTGAAAACCTAATTTAAGAAGCAGAATATTTCCTCTACTGTATAACTATAATAAGGCCTGGGCTACAGCAGCTACCACTGGGCCTGTCTCCGAGCTTCTCAGAGCTCTGACTGAAGTCTCACTCTCTTCCCTTCCTCAGCTCTGATGGCACTGGGGGAAGGAAGTGGATGTACTCGCGAAACTCTTGTCACACTGAAGGTGGAATTCAGTGTTTACTTCCATTAAAACTAAACCTT